CTGCTAGACCTACGCGGAGGACTTCGTTGGCAGCGGCGATTATTATATCCAGTTGCCGGCTCCGTTCTGTATGATTATTATATCCAGTTGCCGGCGACGATGGCCGCGGCGTTGAGCACGGAGAACGGTTGGTGGCAGGGAGCAGCAGCGTGGAGCAGCCCGTGAAGTCGAAGACGCCGTCCTGGTACAGCCTCCCTGTGGCGGCCTTGCTGGTGACGTCGAAAGTCGAAGGCGCGTGGAGCACCAATTACTCAGCAGGTGTGCCTCTTTACGGTACATCTCCACAGAGGATTTGACATGGTTGGTTGCATCGATATAGCTCAATTAGTTCTATGAAAGTTGTTTGTTTGGAATGGATTTTTGTCTACAAGAACATCATTGATCGGTGTAACAGTTAGCTGGTTGGCAACAATGCAATTTTCTCTTGTAATAGGTCACCCATGACCTCTCATGTTTATGATTATGATTTTATCTAAGGAGCATACCACGTCTAAAAAAAAGATACTTCACTTTTTTTCAGGATTAGAACAATCCTTTTAGAGCTAAAACTAAAATATTAGTATTTGATTTGTAGACAGAATGAGAACAATCCTTCTAGATCTAAAATATTAGAGTTTTTCTAGCCTTCTAGCATTAATTGATTGAGCATACGGAATGATCATTGATGTTTACATGAAATATTTTAGAGCTGCTGAGCAGAGATTGATTGTAGAAAGAACAGAACGACACCATGCAGATTGAACTCAGGTAAATGTATAAACTAGAATAAACTGTTGTCTTTCCTTTTTATGCTGATAGTTATGGAGAATGTGATCTCCTGTTGTGATGGTACAAGAACCTAAAAGGAGAAGATCTAAATTGGCCGCAACCCAAAGAGCTGATCTTGATGGAGGAGGCACTTTTATAATGGACTGCGAACCTAAATGAGAAATGATATCTAGGTATGGTTTCCTTGCTCACTCTCTCATACCTAGAGTCTTTTGGAGTTGCCTAATTAAAATTCTTCAGAGTGATACTGTATACTTCAACTGCAAATAAAAATCATAAATCCCTACTATCCTGGATTGTATTTTTCTTAAAATTTGCTTGTACTTTTTCTTGAGAACGAGCATGATGTGCATTGATGGAACTATGAAGGGAAGCAAGTGAAACTGCTTGTGCTTTCGATCTTACGGGGAAACAAACAGATAGTGTTGGTTCTTCAATGAAATAGAAAACCTGAGCAGATGTCTGGTGAGGTGACATGTTATGTTCCTGCAACTAATATTTTTGCTCCTGTGCCTTAAAAATAATTCTTTTTGTATAGCATTATAATTTTGTAATTATAAAATAGTTGGATCTAAAAATTATTATTATTATTCATCTATTATGAAAGATTTTTAATAGACACGTGCGTGTCGCACGTGCATATCCACTAGTTCGCTTCGCTGAAAAAACAAGCCAAAACACTGTTTCGGCTGATTTGTCGTAAGAGAAAAACACTGTTCCGGCTGAAAAAACAAACTGAAAAGTACGGATTATAAGACAAGCGAACAGGGCCATCATCATCACACTATAAAAGAACGAGTTTATTTTTTGGGCTATCCCTCTTTCATAGCCGTTTGATCTCGACACCGTTTCATATCAGTCTTCCGTCGTATAAGATCTTACTCTCCCTCATTAATAACCGTTCGATCTAAACGCCGTGACATAAGCCTTCCGTTATCCGAGATCTTACGTTACCCCACGCTCCCCTCAAATCCCTCTCGGAGTCTCAGTGTCGTACGCCTGCGCAACGTAGTTCGACCCCCTCACGATCACAGCGCGGCAACACATCAGCAAAAGGAGTCTTGGTCACGTACACCTGCGCAATGCAAAATTTTGAGTAACCTGAGTAGCAATCTAATCCAAATAGTTTAACTTTTTCCATGTCCGTTACAATTTTCGTTTGATTTTTTCCTTATTCACATTTCTGTTCAACAATAACAAAAAGAAAAAGATGCACACAAACGGATCAAAGGAGAACACGAGCCCACTGTTTTCCGAATTGCATGATTAAAAAGGTTCTAGAACTCTTTTATTTATGTTAAAAAAACACAGAGGTCCACCAACAATAAATTTTTTCAATAAAAAATACACGAAAAATTTGGAGAAAGAGCCAAGGGTTAAAACACCCATAATGACATGTTTATTATTTTTGGTTTATTTGTTATGAAAAACCCAAGAATAAACATGCACACACGGCCAGGAAAAAATTGAAAACACCGTACTATTTTCTCGTCATTGTTTTCTATAAATATTTGATTGATTTTTTCTCCCGTTGCAGCACACGGGCTGAATGGATCAGACTTGTTGTGACCGGAGCATGTCCGCGCTCGCTGCCTTCGACAGCGAGGGCGAGGGTCGTCCCACCTGAAAGTGGGTTTGGGCCGTTCCGAAGCCAGGCTTCTTTGTCAATGGGCTCATTGGGCTGTGTAGCTTAGTTATCATTTTAATTATTTTATTATTATTTGGTGAAAGCTTCAATCAAACAAAAAAAACTACAACGTGAATAAAATGTTTGCACTGCATGAAATAAATAAAAATAATATAACCCGTAAACTAGGCTCTTAAATGACACAAAAAGAGGAAACCAAAGCATGAAATACGAAAGGCGCGCCGCCAGTGAAAGCGACCACAAGTGTCTTCGGGCACACACGACAAATAATGTATGACAAAAAAAGGTGAAAAACAAAAATCTAAACATGTTTGTAAGAAATGATGAAAAAATGTACATGTCCTGTACTTTATGTGGACAAAACGGAAAAAATAAAGTTAAATTATTTATGGGGCCAAAAAGAAAAAAATATAAAGTTATGTTTAGATGGACCTGCTAAATAAATTAATACTACATTATTTAAGTCATAATTGTTTTGCATCTAAAGATGCTTGTTTATTTATATCACATTAATTTATATCGGTTCATTTAGGCACAATCTTATTATATCATTAATAAAGTCATAATCCCTCACATTGTTTGTACGTGCCTACAATAAACGTTGGGTAGCCAAGTATGGAAAGGATAATTGTTGAAAACATATAAGTAGTAAGCTTACTACAAGATGAGTGCTTTCTTCTCCGACCTCCCTGGAGCCTCTAGTAGCACAACTGGGACTACGACGGGTTCTCCACCCATACGAGGATGGATCGACAAAAGTATGAAAATAGAGTAAGATAGGGATAACACGAGCCGTTTAAAAATATGTCAGTCAAAGTGCATCGATATATGCAGTTAAGGCATTCTAACGAACAAACGATTTGAACCTTATTCTACACGACCCAATCAAATCGATCAAGCACTTGCCATCTACCTTTATTGTATATCGACAATTCAATTAACATTTGCATTGCATTTGAAATAGTTTTTAGAAACACGTGCGTGTCTCACGTGTAGATTTGCTAGTCATCACACTATAAAAGAACGAATCTTTTTGAGGGGCTCTTGTTCTATAATAACCGTTCGATCTAGACGTCATGCTATATGAGCATCGAACCAGCAAAGCGCTTGCTCACCAACTTAAGAACAAAATTTACAAAGCAATAGAAGGACTACTCCATGATGGAAGAAATTTCCAAAAAAAAAAATGGTGCAATATGCTGGTAATTTTTTTAAAAACTTTAATCGCACTGAGCCAGCAAAGAGCTTGCTGACCAACTTAAGAAAAAAAATTTACAAAGCAGTAGAAGGACTACTCCGTGATGGAAGAAAATTTCAATTAAAATAATCCCTATTGAAGGAAGGTTCAGTTGAATGGCAAATTTATCTCCATAATACAAAAGGGGTAATATTCAATAAAAATTGCATTCACACATTGACAAAGGAGCTTTTCACAGAAAGAATTTCCAGCTTTATACTCCTTTTCCTACTATCTTCATAGGATAGATATGATAAGTTCAGCAGCAAGAAGAAGCCGCCACTGTGCTGCCTTCTGCTGCGTGGACAATGCTTTGCTGTATTTCAGTGAGCAAACCCTGATCACAAAAAACAGCTTCAAGTAGAACCTTTTTGATAACTTTCAAGCTTCTATAGGATCTGAGGTTTCTTTCAGCAACTCAAAATTTTAGTTAGGTTTCTTTTGATATATCTGATTATTTTTATGGGGTGACAATCTTTATTTTGATCCATATTTTAGAAAGATATTTGAAGTGTGATATGAGGATGTGAGGAGTAGTGGGAGGGGAATAGGAAGATGCTGCCCGTACACAAGACAGGCGCTCTGCACTGTCAAGTGTCAACATACTCCAATCACAAGCTCTACAAGTTGTTTGATGTGGGACATGGAGAAATTAGCTCATAATTGACAAATGTTTATGTACTTCATGCCTTAGGAGTTTGTAATGTAGCCAATTGTATAGCAGGTTGGTAGTTGATTCTGAATCAGGGTATTGTCCTATTGATTTACAATATTCTCGGTTGTATAGATGAGTGTGGGCTAATTTGGCACTGGTGAGTGGTGACTGAGTAGTGGAATTTTCCACTACAAAAAAAGCCATAATTTTAATGGCAGCTGTAATTCATCCTTTATGAATGAGTTTTCTTTTGATATCTACGGCGTGCATGTTCACTTGTATCATAAATAAAAGAAAGAGAGGAAGCTGACACGCAATTACACCACAATCCGATCTGCATCAAGTCTGAGAAATACCGCAAAAATTCTGGCAGATTGTTGCTGAACTTTCGTTAAATCATTATGAATTGCGCGAAAATTTATGCATTGATTCAAGATATATTTTTTTCTTTCCGAGTAACACAAAATAATATAAGCGGCCAATTGAACCTCAAGTCTATTAGAACACAGCCACCTATTCTTAACGAAAACGTCCAAAAAGCAACACTAGGAGGCAAGGAGCTCTGAATTTCAATTTATTCATCCATTCCTCACACAAATTTGCACCTATAAACCAAACAAAACAAAAATTGTATTCCGCGCTGGAGTGTGATAGTGAATTTAAGGTAACTTTCACAAACCACAAGGCTGCATCTACTGGTTTACTACTTCTGGTTCTGGTAGTGCAGAGCTTTCTGCTTCCTTTCCTGCCTTGGACGGCGGCTGCTGCTCGACCGAGGATTCCTCTCGCGCCCTCCGCGACCGCAGCAGCATGGCTCGCATGGCCGGCGTCGCGAACGACGCCGCCTCCGCGGCCATGTTCATCGGACCGTTCATGTTTACCATGTTGGCGCTGGCCCGTTGGTACGCGTGCATGGACATGCCAGCGAGCATAAAGGCGCGCCCCGACCGCGCGTAGCTATTCCCGTTGGAAACGAGCCGGCGCATCTCGTGCAGCTCCGCCCCCAGCGACTGGATCGTGGCGTCGCCGCCAAGCGCCGCCTCCGACTGCGCCACCGCTTGTTGCCTGATCTCGAGTATCCTTACCGCCTCCTGGTGCGCTCCCCGCTCCGCCGCCGCCCTCGCCGCAGCGATGTCCTCGGCCGCCTCCACACGGACGCGCTCCCGCTCCACCTCCGTCGAGAGTTCCGCGTCCACCACTTGCTCCGGTCTCGCCACCACCGTGTCCTCCGCCGTCACGTCGACGTGAGCGCCACCGGCCGTGTCCCGGTAACTGCAGTTCACCTTGATCAAAGCAGTCTCGCCGTCCGTTGCTTCCACGGCTGGAACAGACAAGAACAGCAGGAAGCGCCGCTCCTCGTCCGCGTAGAGCTCGCCGACGCGGACAGAGGCGGAGCGGCCGTCCTCGTCGACGCGGCTCTCGTAACGCCCGGACTTGATCGAGCCGATGCGAACTCCGGGGTGCCCGGCAGCGATGGCGACGCGCGCCTCCTGCACCACGACGGTGAGCAGGCCGCCGATGCACTGCGCGAAAGCGTCCTGGATCACCGCCTCGTTCTCGATGTACGAGAAGGTGCCGGCGGTGGCCTCAGTGATGACGTGCATAGCCGCCGCATCGTGGTCGTTGCCGAACCCAAACGTGTGAACCGGCGCCGACCAGTCTCTGGTGCCAGTGGCCATGAAGGACGGCGGCACGAGCGCCTCGTAGTTGGGCGCGGCGCCGGCGGCCCGCGACCAGCGCGGCGCGGTGTAGGTGTCCTGGCCGTCGGAGAGGAGTATGACGCTGGACACGGTGTTCCTGTGCCGGCGCTCCTCGAGCACCTTGGCCGCCGTCCGGAGTCCCTCGGCGATGTTGGTCCCGCCGCGCGCGACGAGCGATTCCACGGCGCTCTTGGCCGTGGCCTTCCCGTCGCCCGACATCAGGAGGAGCCTGGTCACGCGGCGCGCCCCGTCGGAGAAGGACACGACGCTAAGGCGGTCGTGGGGTCCCAGGTTGTCGACGACGAATCCCATGGCCTGCTTCAGGAGCGCCAGCTTCGCCCCGGTCATGCTACCACTCACGTCGAGCACTGCCACGAGGTCGAGAGGCGCGCGTGGCGCGTCGCCAGCCGCCGCTTCGCCGTCGGTCGTCATCCCGGGAGCCTTGACGTGCACGAGGACGGCGAAGTTGTCGCGCGACGAGTCCCTCGCGACGGCGGAGTACTCGGTGTGCGTCGTGACAGCCAGCGTCCCACCGGATCTGGATGACGCCGCCGCCTGTCGCTGGTCGCCGCCGCCGTCGCCGGAGGAGGGCGGTTCCACCCGCTCGTCGTCGTCGAACACTTGAGGCTCATCGGACTGGTGTTGTGGCTGCCAACCATGCAGCGGCACATGCCTCGTCGGCAGTGGCTGCACACGGTGCATGGGCAGTGGCTGCGGCAGCGTGCGCGGCACCGGCGCCGGCTGCGGCTGCACCACGGACGGCAGCTCGCGCCAGCGCGCGTTGCAGAGCGGGCAGACGAGGTTGCCGCGCGCGACGCTCGCGGAGATGCAGTGGAAGTGGAACGTGTGGGAGCACTCGGCCGTGAAGATGGCCTGCCCGCCGCCAGCGCCCATGCCGGCGAGGCATATCGCACAAGGATTGCTCTGCACCCACCAAAGATCAGTCTGTTTCTGTTCATGATGAACTGCGAGCTAGCTAGTCCTACAGAGACCATCTTTCAAAGGAATTTATATATCTGGAAACCAAAAAGAATCGCATGTCGAATATGGTAGAAAGTAGTAAAAGTACAGATGGAATTTCGGAGAGACAACTGCAGAATTCAATGGCGGATTTCACGGTCTCACCTGGTCGGCACCTTCCATGTCGATCGAGTTGCTATTGCTCCGAAGGATGATATATGGAATGGAATGAAAAATGTTTACGAGGTGTAGCTGTGGGATATATGAATCTGGTATATATAACAGGGCAGATGCTTCGATTCAAAGGAAGGAGAAGAGTTGGATGTATCGTCGTGGTTTCCACGTTGGTGTAACAGCCGATAGCTTAATCCTCAAGTATAGGTCTTCTTGAGTGCAAGTAGAGATGAAAACGGTACGGATATTTTTCGATCGTATTCGAGTCCGAATCCGTTTAGAGGGGTTTAGATTTATCCGTATCCGAGTCTGGATATTCAACATCCGATACCGTATCCGTATTCAAATACTCAAATCACATATTTATGATGTCGACATCTAATCGTATCCTATCCGGCATGGCTGATACTATCCGTATTTGAATCCAAATCTGACTAAAAATGTGAAAACAAATATAATATCAGTGATATCCGTTCGTATCCGATCCGTTTTCATCCCTAATTGCAAGGACCAAGTCGGATCCGCCTGAAGCGGCTGTTACGGCCCGGCTGAAGCGGAGTGCCGGAGTGCAATGACCAAGTCGGATCCGCCTGAAGCGTTAAGCATACAAGGATGAAGTCGGGGACCAGGCTGAGGCCCAACTCGCGTACTGCACACACACACACACACACACATTGTCCAGCATATACCAGCCCACATAACTTTGAGCCCAAAGCCACAACGTCTCGTGCCCAGCACAGAAACGGGGAACCAGCGAGCAGGGCCAAAAATGGTTTGAAACGTGTATGCGTGGACACACACGACTGACGACCCTAGACTCTTCTTCTACGAGTACAAAGACACGTACACAGCAACACACACCCTGGCACGCGGAGCTAGCAGGGGATGTTCCGGCCGTAGTTGTCGTCTGTGCCAGGCGGAGCATCGGCGGCGGGGGCGGCGGACGAGCCCGAAAACTTGTCGTCGATGCCCGCGTGGTAGAGGAGCGCCCAGAGGTGCGTGATGAACTCGCCGCCCTTGCCGAGCTCCTTCTGGTGCGCGACTATGCTGCCGTGCGGCGCCATCGACACGATCAGCTCGCACCACAGCTCGGCCAGCGCCTCCCACAGGCCGTCGCCGTCGCCGTCGCCGCTGCCATGCGCCAGCACGCTCTCCAGACCACTGGCGAGCTTCCAGCCTCTCGAGACTACGCCGACCTCTTCTTGGCTGTCATGTGTCGGTCCCTCCTTCCCGTTGGCCGCCGCCTCCTCGCCGCCGCGTCCGCCGTTGGGTGCTTCTTTCCCGCCGACCGCTTTCGCTTCGTCGAGGAGGACGTTGCACATGTACCGCACGGAGTTGCTCGCGACTGGGAGCAGCTTTGGCTTGTAGAACACCAGGTAGGCGCAGTACTTGGACAGCGTGCACTACTACACAAATCTTATCCGTGGCGGGCGTTTTAGGTTTTGCGCGGCGGGCAAAGCCGTCCGCCGTGGTCCAGAGGCCACGATAAATGGGAGATTAACCGCGGCGGGCGAGATATGCCCACCGTGGTTAATTAATGAAAATAAACAAAAAGAAAAGAAAAAAAAACCCACACCGGGCCTACATATGGGCTCGGCTGGATCTGGATCGCGCCGCCATGGTGGAGGTCGCCGCCGCCGCCAGATCCACGGATCCAGCCGCCGCCAAATCCGGCCTCCACGAGCTCGCCACCGACGGATCCGCCCGCCTGCCGCCGCATCTGGAGGTGTGGTGGCGGGCAACGGGCCACCGCCACCGCGAGGATGGGCGCACGCCGGCCGAAGTTGAGGAAGAGGGCCGCCTCACACCCGGGGGAGCCGCCTCGCGCCTGCGTTGCCCCACGCCCGGGGGAGCCGCCTCGCGCCCGCGTCGCCCTCCACCGAATCTGGCCAGGATCCACCGGATCCAGCTGCCATCCTCCTGGATTTGGCAGCCCTCCACAAGATCCAGCCGCCCTCGCACCACCACGGCCACCTTGCCACCATGGAGACGAAGTGTCGGCGGAGGGAGGCAAGGGGGGGCGCCAGCGGAGGGGGGCAAGGTAGGGCTCGCCGGCCTGCTGTTGCGGCGCGCCGGCGGAGGGGAGAGACTAGAGAGAGAGGGGGGAGGGAGCGCGTCGCGGGGGGAGGAGCGCACGGCGCGCGGGTCGCGACCTTGCGAAGAGCGGCGTGCGGCCTCGCGGGGGGAGGGGGCGGGGGGGGGCTGAAACCCTAAGTGTTGGGTTTTATACTCGGACTTGATGTTGGGCTTTCACTGGGTCATATGGGCCTCGGCCTTAATCGAGGTGGGCCTCATAGGACGTCCGCCACGGCAAATAGATTTACCGTGACGGACATCCTTATACGTCCGCCTCAGAAAATACCATATTTTCCGTGGCGGACATATAAGGACGTCCGCCATGATAAATCGATTTACCGTGATGGGCAAAAGTGCTCGCCGCGGTAAATAAAAAATGTTCGCCACGGTAAATCGCGGGCATTGACCGTGGCGGACATCCATTTTATCCGCTACGGTTATGTTTTGGGGTGTCACGCAAAATCATCTGTGTAGTAGTGGTGGTGCCCACGAGCCTGTAGTCCACACGGCGTGATCCTAGTCCTTTCCGAGTCTGGCGGCCGTCCTCCAAATCCATCAAGCGTTTGTCCGATCCTCCAACGCGCGGCTGCCGGCCGCCGCCGCCGCCGTCTTTCAGCTCCAGCGTGCTGGTCGCGACGTGCCACACCATGATTCTCTCGATGTGCGTCTGAGCTTTGCAGTGCTCCGAAAGCAGCACGTCGCCTTCCAGCTCGGTCCTCCTCTTGAGGGACTCGTGGCCATCGACCAAACCTTTTCTGTTGTTCGCGAGGGTGCTGCATATCATCTCCTCTACGTCTGCGGGGACCGGCCGGAGGGTCTTGCACTTGTTGACGCGGAAGTCCTCGTCGCCGGTCAGCAGGACGAAGGATCTCGCCGTGCGGTACAGCTTCACGATGCACTCCGGTAGACGTCTCTGCTTCTTGGTCGCCTTGAGAAGGTCGAACTGTCCCAGAGAGCTGCCGATGGGCTCCGCGATCTTGCCGCAGCAGATGAAGTTGAGGACGCAGTTGAGGAAAGGGGATGCCCGCAGCCACGGTTTCCGGACGTATTCGGTGACCACCATAACCTGAAAGGCAAAGCAGGGGACCATCAATTATTGAAGGGTCTCAATTCCACTATTCCAGATGTGATAAGAACAAGGAGCAGGGTGTGCCGTGACGGGATCATTGGAGGACAAATTGCATAAGGGTTAGCCTCCCAAATCAAACTTAGACCCACAACCCAACTTCACTAGTGGAGCAGATTTTTTTCCCTTTACATCAGCTTTACCAGCAGCTCTGCCAATGGAGCTACGACAAACCAACTCTAGCAAATCCCGGATCTACTAGAGCGACTTGAAACTAGGAGAAGAAGCTATTTTCACCTTCATCCCACAATAATCCCTTGTGACTTGTGAGAGCATATATTTTATAAAGAGCTTTACATGTAAAACCTTTTGAACAAAAATACTCATAAGACACAAAACAACTTCAAACAGCTCGTGAAGCTATTGAAAAAGATGTGTCAAATGGGCTTCCAAATGGATGTAATTCCTCTGTCCTCCATTCTAAAATAATTGTACATCTCATTTTCTGAGGAGTATTTTTTAAATTTTGACAAGAGTTATCAATATTTGCATATCATAATATATTTATTGTGAAAATATATTTCAATATTAATCTAATGATATTAATACACATCATAAATATTAGTATATTTTTTGCTTATATATTTTGTCAAACTTTAAAATTTTGGCTTCTTGAAAAATAAGATGTGCAGTTTTTTAGAAACTAAGATAGTAATTTTAACTTTATCGTTAATTAAATTTATATAAAAGAGTATTAATATTTACAACGTAAAATAGGTATACTATAAAAATATATCTCACCATGAATCTAGTAACAATGATTGGCTATTACAAATATTCATATTGTTTAAATGAATTGGATCGAACTCATAATGATTTGGTTGAGGCTGTCTTTATACCTCTGTACTAGTATAGGACAGTTAAGTCAGAAATCTTTCAAGTCTCTGTCTCTCTTTGTGAATGCCAAAGAAAAACGTCGGTGGTGTTTAAATTCAGGGCTAAAGTTTAGGGGTGTCATATCGGGTGTTATATGGAGTGTCATATGGGAGTGTTCGGATAGTAATAATAAAATAAATTACATAAGTCCTCAGTAATCCGCAAGACGAATTTATTAAGCCTAATTAATCCGTCCTTAGCATATGGTTACTGTAGCACCACCTTAACAAATCATGAACTGATTAGGCTTAAAAAATGCGTCGCGCAAATTAGTCGCAATCTGTGTAATTGGTTATTTTTTAGTCTATATTTAATACTTCATGCAAGTGTCAAATATACGATGTGATAGGGACTAAATTTTAGGGGAAGAACTAAACTAGGCCTTGGGTATTGTCAGATTTCAGTGAGTGAGTATGTGGACCATACTACGTGCGATTTAAATAACTGCCATAGTGTCTGAGAATGTAACTTCGCTAAAAAGTAGGTCCCATGTAGTCACACCACGTGGTTACGTACCTTAGTCCAGTCGAAGAAGAGGTGGATGAAGAACTCGCAGATCTCCATCCCGGTGACCATGCCCACGATGACGAAGGTGATGAGCAGGTCCACGTTCTTGCCATGGACGAGGTTGGACGAGCTCCCGTGGGGCACCCGGTAGTGCCGGACCGCCGACACGGTGATCCACACGGACACGCCGACCGTCACCACGAACAGCGCCGTGCTGACGACCGGGAAGCCGGAGTTGAACATGATGGGGTACTTGGTGTAGAGCAAGTCCCTCGCGAAGCCCAGCTCCGTCCTCACCACCCGGAACGTCCGGTCTCGGCCGGAGCTGATGAGGTCGTCGAAGACCAGCAGCTCCGCCTTCGACCTCTCGCTCTCGGCCGTCGCGACGCTGGTGAACTTCCTCCGTAGGAGCTTGCACAGCGCAAAGGAGAGGCCGACGTCTCTCAGCTCTTTGCCGTGTGTCTTCGATTTCAGGAGGTTCCCATCGCACCCCCAGACCTTGGCGATGGTGAGGGTGTCCTCCGCCCGCTTGTACCGAGCCTCATACTGGCTCTCCACCCTTTCGGCCTTCGCCTTGGAGTCGCCGACGATGAGGTAGTTGCAATTTTTCAAGCACAAGTCCTGGTCATCCGATCCCTCTGAGGGTGCTTCGATGCTCAGAGGCCGCCGATGATTATATGGCACCACTATTGCTTCTATGATTACTTTGATCTAGTGGTAGCATATGACATGTTTGTGGGCTTGTAAACCTAGTGTTTGATCTAGAAAAAGAGCTCTAAATGTTTAACTCAACATGGTATAAGATAACCCTTATTTGAAGGTGTGAAAAAGCTTGTCCTTGTATCAAACCGAGTTAAATATCTTTGGCAAATGATCTAGATTAGACCAAATTTGGGAAAATAATCCTCACCTCATTGATTGACATTGATAATCTCAACCTATCTACATTTTAAACCTTTGTGGTCATTGATGACAAAGGGGGAGAAAAATAAAGATATTAGTGATATTAGTACATGGAGAGAAAAACAAACATATTAGTGTACTAAGATAATGAAAAGACAAAACAAAGATATTAGTGTACTAAGATAATGAAAAGACAACAAAGGGGGAGAGATATGACAAAGGAAAGAGATCAATTAAAATTTTGAGCACACAAGTAGGGGGAGCAAGCTCATGAACTTGTATGGTGCATTTGAATGTGCATTTCATATGTTTGCTTGCATGGCACAAGTTTTAAATTTCAATATCCATACTTGTGTGGTGTATGCTAGTTGTAGGTTTGAATGATGAAATGAAAATCTAGCATGCATAGGTCATCTAGTAATTTCATTTTCAAGTGTTTCCAAGTGGTATCAAACTAACCATGGTGCTAAGGATGGTATAATGGTGCACTCTGATTGGTATCACGCTTCAAAGGTCCATCTTTTATGCCTTAGCATCATTTGGTAGACATTGTCTCCTATATTTTCTATCTAAGCATATGTGCAAGCTTCAATCCAACTCTTAGCATATATGTAGGGAGAGCAATTGCTACCATATGGAGTTCATGAAACTTGTCCATATCCTTTGACACATAGTAAATATGCTTGGACAAGCAACATGGATTCAATTGAATTTTAATTCATATCTTTGTGAAAGGGTTGTCATCAATTACCAAAAAGGGGGAGATTGAAAACTCTAGTTTGGTTTTGGTGAATTGATAAAACCCTAAGTGCTAACCTAGTTTATCAAGTGATTATGAGATAGGTAGCGCATTCTAAGTGATGGAGCAAATGATGACCATGACATGATAATGGTGATGCCATGGTGATGATCAAGTGCTTGGACTTGAAAAGAAGAAAGAGAAAAACAAAAGGCTTAAGGCAAAGGTATAAATGATAGGAGTCATTTTGTTTTGGTGATCGAGACACTTAGCGAGTGTGATCACATTTAGGATCGATAGCAGTACTATTAAGAGGGGTGAAACTCATATCGGAATGCGGTTATCAAAGTACCACTAGATGCTCTAACTCATTGCATGTGCATTTAGGATCTAGTGGAGTGCTAACACCCTTGAAAATGTTTGTCAAAATATGCTAACACATGTGCACAAGGTGATACACTTGGTGGTTGGCACATTTGAGCAAGGGTTAGGAACTTCACCGGCGCCCTAGACAGAAAAGACGGAGGTCACTGTAAGTGACCAGACGCTGGTATCGGTTGGACCGACGCGTCCGGTCAGGTGAAGCTACAAAGACGCTAGTGTCGGTCTCTGACCGCACGCTGGGTCACTTGGTGACCGGACGCTGTCAAGGTGCGTCCGGTCCTGCTAACGTGGCAGCGCACAGAGGAGTCACCGTGTGACCGGACGCTAGGTGAGTCCGGTCGAGCATGACCGTACGCGTCAGGTCGTGAAAAGTCGTCTCTGGATGCTTACTGGAAACGACCGGACACTGGGGTTCAGCGTCCGGTCACTTTGAGCTGCTGCGTCCGGTCGTCACTTGACCGTTGAGATCGGGCGATCAACATTTGAAGAGAGAGGACACGTGGCACGCATCACGTGACCGGACGCCGGAGGTTAATCTGACCGGTGCGTCCAGTCAGCCCGTGTTCTATGCTATGAGGAGCCAAATGGCTCTATTTCGTGGAGGCTTCTATTTAAGCCCCATGACCGGCTCAAGCTCACTCTCTTGGCCATTTGCATTGACATAGCAACTTTGTGAGCTTAGCCAAAGCTCTCCCACTCCTCTCCATCATTAATTCATCATCTTTGTGAGATTGGGAGAGAATCCAAGTGCATTGCTTGAGTGTTTGCATCTAGAGACACTTGGTGTTCGTGTTTCGCTGCGAGATTCGCTTGTTACTCTTGGTGGTTGCTGCCACCTAGACGGCTTGGAGTAGCGAGGATCATTGAGCGGAGGTTGGTGATTGTCTTTGGCTCCGATCATGGTGATTGTGAGGGGTTCTTGACCTTTCCCCGATGGAGAGCCAAAAGGTACTCTAGTGGATTGCTCGTGGCTTGTGTGATCCTCATCTTGTGTTGGTTGTGCAGCACCCTATTGAGGGTTTGGCGTGTGATGCCAATTAGCGCGTGAACCTCCAAGTGAGTGAATCGCCACAACGAGGAGTAGCTTGTCGGCAAGCAAGTGAACCTCATTAAAAAATCATTGTGTTCATCCTTTGATTCCGAGGTGATTGGTCTTCATTGTTATTCATTCTTATGATTGATTGGCTCCTTCCTCGACACGGTGGTATAACCTTCTTGCTCACTCTCTTTACATTACCGCAACTTAGTTGTCAAGCTCTTTAGTGTAGCTAGTTGTGAGAGCTTATTAGTTTGGTTAGTGTTGCTTTTTAGTTAGCCTTTGAGAGCACACTAACTTATTGTAGTGACATAGTTATTGTGTGGATAGAAACTATATCAACTAGAATTGTGGTAGGTGGCTTGCATTTTTTGTAGGCTAGCGCAACACTTGCTTTGCCTCATAATTGTCTAACCGGTTTGCTAAGTGTTGTTGTAGAAATTTTTATTAGGCTATTCACCCCCCTCTAGCCATTAGGACCTTTCACACTTTAGGTGACAAAAACACTTGGTGAAATACTTGTCTCGTAGTTGCAAATATTTGCATACGAGGATCTTTCTGTCTTTTCTTAACATTATTAAAAATATCATGTGGTATTATATGAAATGACCTTCAAGACTAGTGTCGGTGTTTCGAACCACCAGCTAGTAAATTTGTATATGCGCGTCTGACCCGGATGGTGTGCTCGGAGGACATAGGGATTTATACTGGTTCGGGTGGAATGTCCCTACGTCCATGAAGGGACCGTGACGCCTAAGAGGGGGGGTGAATTAGGCAACTTAAAAATCTAACTCTCAACTATGGCCTCTTTTTCCAATCCTAGCAAAACCTATGCAATAGATGAACTATCTAAATGTGCAACTACGGGTTAGCTAGTGTGTTGCTATCTCTACCGCAAAAGGAGTAATACAATTAATGTAAATGCAGAAGCTAAAGAGCAAGATAGAGATATGCAAACTCTCGTCGATGACTCTGGTATTTTTACCGAGGTATCGAGAAACGCGCAAGCTTTCCCCTAGTCCTCGTTGGAGCCCCTCGCAAAGAATCCCTCGCAAGGCCAAGCTTCCAGTCGGGTAACTCCGTGGATAGCCTCGGGCCTTCCCCACACGCAAGTGGGTCTTCGACGTGCCTTCCGGCAAGCCTCTCCCGGATGCTCCCCACCGTCTTCACTATCAAGCTTCCGGCCGAAACGCCGCGGGCCTTGTTCCCTCCGATACATGGTGGCGACCACACCACAACCGCGGTTGGTGTGATCTCGTAAGAATACAAGCCCCTCCGATGTACAACAATGGTGCTCACAAGCACTGAGTGATAAGAGGTATGCAAACCTCACTAAACACTAGGCCTAAACCTAGAGCAAGCGCATAAGCGGTGGTCTAATCAACCTAAGTTTCGCAAAGCACCTACGCTAATCACCTAATGAATCACTAAGCACTATGCAAGTGGAGATCACTAAAATGGTGTATCAACACCCTTGGTATGTTTCCTCAGCTCCACACATCTTATTTGGTCGGTTGGGGGTTGTATTTATAAGCCCCACTGAGAAAGTAGCCGTTGGGGACGAATTCCCGCTTTTCTGCTACTGACCGGACGCTGAAGTCGTCCTGACCAGACGCGTCCGGTCGTCCCGACTGTTGGAGCCGCGAACACTTGATCGGACGCTGATAGCGTCCGGTCGTAGTTTCCCCGCTCTGGAACCTCTTTATACTCGACCGGACTCTGTTGTCCTGCGTCTGGTCGATCTGCCGCCAGCGTCCGGTCCAGCGTCCTGTCGCGCCTGTTGCCGAGCCTCTTGATCGGAGCGTCCGGTCATTTTCTTCCAGCGTCCGGTCACTTCTGTGAGCTCGTTTCTTCGCGATCTTGCGTACGGCTTGGTTCCTATCTTCATGCTTGGACATTGCTTGATATCTTGGGTCTTCTCTTGTGCTCCTAGGGTCTTGCTTATGGTGTTGATAATCGGATCATCACATCGCCTTTGTTCAAGTCACGTCTTGCATCCTATTGAACTACAAAACAATCACTTGCAAGTTTATTAGTCCAATTTGGTTGTGTTGGTCATCAAACACCAAAATCCAAAGTAAATGAGCCAAGGGTCCATTTTCCTTACAATCTCCCCCCTTTTGGATGATTGATGACAACACGACCAAAGCAAGCAAATAATAAAAAATTTTGAAATTAGAAAACTACCTACTTGCTAGGATGCAATGCTAAGGGGCAAGTTTATGTGATGCTAAAAGATACTACTTTGTAAAACTAAAGGGTACTACATAAAACTTATCTTGCCCTTGCAAATGTTCCCATGTGGCATTATGGATTTATGCCTAGCTTCCTACATATTCTCCCTATTACATAGGCAATCCATAATCCACTATCCTCCCTTTCTCGGACCATTACCTCTTGTAAATTATTGATGCTTGCTTTTGGTCCTCTAAATTCTCCCCCTTTGGAGTCAAACACTGAAAAGGAAGACATTAGTAGCACAAGAGAGGGTCAAACTTTGTGATCCTATTTATGTGGAATGGAATAGGTCACAAAGTTTGATTCTCACATTATATAGAC